TGTGTTAATAAAAAATCCATTCAGCTGATTAAATTATTAATTAATACTCTGTATGAGTATTCCATTTACTTTTAATTGAGTTTTTTGAACACCCAAAACATAGAGGCTAGATCCGTCAGTGACTGTGATCGGGTCCGGATTTAACTATCTAGGAGCTTTGGATGATAATTCATAGACTCCAAGATTAGGGGAACGCAAGCACCGACACCTGGATAAAAAAATGAAATGATACTTCAAAGTTTAAATGCAAGTAATTAAAAATGTTTCATTACCAAATGATTCACAACGAAACAAAGAATATTTCAGAATATAATAATGTATAAAAAGAAAATTTAATTTAGATAGAGTGAATTCCCCAAATATGAGTAAAACATAGGCAAAATACAAAAATAGGAGTACCATGTTTTGAATAGGACTAAGTTTAGTGTTTGAATAAATATACCCCTACCCAAGCACCTACAACTTTCTTTAATAATTAAAACATAAAAGAAATAACATTAATTAATTTAAATTAAAATTGTAAAAAAACAAACAAAAAACACAAAAATATATATTAAATAAAATATACTTTGTATTGAATAAAATTAATAAAAATAAAAATTATTAAAATAAAATAACATTAAATAAACAACTAAACAATCAAAAAAATTAAAAAAAGAAAAACCTATAAAAAAAATATGCTGCCGCCTGCCGCCGCCTCAACAACCTCCCAGCACCACTAGCTCCGACCATCGAAAATGCCAACATTTGATCGAAATGCCATCACGATAGCAGTTTTTGAGAAAATTTAGCATTTTCAAACAGTAAAATGACAGTTTTTACATAAAATGACATTTTTTCGCCCATCGAGGGTGACATTGTTGGGTGATGACCGAGGCTGTGGGAATGGCCTCCATAATTTTTTTAATATTTTTTAATGTGCATGTTTTATCTGTTATATATATATATATATTTATATTAGTATTTATTTTATCTATTAATATTTTTTAATTTTTTTATTTTTTTTATTTTTTTTTTTAATTTTTTTGAATTTGTTTATATTTTAATAGGATCAAGTAAGTCATATTTTAGAATTAATTAGGTTAGGGGTATTAAAGGTAAAAAAATAATGTTTACTCCTATTGAAAAAGTTTTAAGTTTTACTTCTATTTGTGTAATTATGTTTATGTTTACTCATATGTTGGACAATTTCGGTTCGATATATGCATGTAATCTAAAAATATATCAAAAAACAGTATTTCGTAATAAACTAAATAAAGTAATACGGAGTATATTTTTTGGCACCTAAATTAAGTAATATTCCGTATTTAATAAATTGTTTCTTGTAATTGGCCGCAGTTTATTACTGATTAGGCCCGCAATGTATTATTCTTTTCTTCTACATTCGCTCAATGAGCAAACGTATATTTGCATATTATTATTATTATTATTATTATTATTATTATTATTATTATTATTATTATTATTATTATTATATTAGTTCAGTACTTCAGTGTTACAGTATAATTTATTGGCTTATTGACGTGCTTTCCTATAAAATCTATTATTTCCTCTGTTTCTACCTATATATGTTCAAAATTTTATACTTTAAAAGAAAATTGAGGGGTATAATTTTTTTGGATACCTGTAAATCAGGGGCAGTTTTTTAATTTTTATTACGGTCTTTCACTTTTTTGATTCCATATCACAGATACAATTTTCCTGATAAATTAAAATTAAGGGAAGGACTGAAGGAGTATATAAATAGGAGCATTTAAAATTCCATAGGACACTTCGTGCTTGTTCTCACAAACAAATGGCTAAATACGCGGGTACAGACGCGCAGGCGAACCTGACTGCGAATCTATTGCGTCTGGCCACCACCACCTTCAGCTTGGCGGCGATGTTCGCCGGACTCCGCTATCTAGACCCAAATCGTCAAGCGTCCAAGAAAGCTAAGGACTTCCGGAAACGGCTCTCCAAACGAACGGGTCGCAAGCTCATCCACACCACTCCATTCGAGGCATAATGATATTCCACTTCTCGTTTTCTATTCTCCATTTTCGTTCGTTTTTCTGCTTCTGTTTATGCATTGCTAATTGCTTCTTAGTTGCGTGATTACACGTAGTTTGCTTTCAAATTCTCTGCGATTTCTGGCAAGAAATAGCTAGAAATAGTTGCATCTGGCTACGTTTTTTGAAGTTCTTCGATAGATTGCACAAAGTCAAATGTTGAAAAGGATTAAAGGAATTAGTGGAGTTCAATGTGATACATCTGGAACATTTAAAGGTTCAAACTTCAAACTGATAGACTGGAAAGTTGTTTTTTTTTTAATTTGTTATACAGGATATGATTGCTTGTGATGTGGTGAATCCGGAGTGCATTGATGTTGAATTTGATTCGATTGGAGGATTAGATGGAATTAAGGAAGCTTTGTTTGAACTGGCGATTTTACCTTTGAAGAGGCCAGAGTTGTTTGCCCATGGAAAACTGCTTCGTCCCGCGAGAGGAGTGCTTCTCTACGGACCACCTGGGACTGGGAAGACAATGCTTGCAAAAGCCATTGCCAAAGAATCCGAAGCTGTGTTTATCAACGTAAAGGTTTCAAATCTGATGAGCAAGTGGTTTGGTGATGCCCCAAAGCTTGGTGAGCCTCTCTTCACTCTTCTCCCCTGTCTTTATCCAAAACACTCAGTTGTTCTATCTTTCAAGAAATGATATTTGTTAGTAGAAAACTACTGTTGTGTTTATACATTGCCTGTATTGGTAAGAAACTACAGAGTCATGTTTTTAATTAGGAAATTATGCTATTTATCCTATGTGTGATTCAAAACACTGTAACACATCTCTAAACAATCCTATGGATGTGTTTGGATATGTGTTGATTGTAACTTTCGATTTATAAGGAGATTTATTCACTATTCATCCCAAGCTTCATAACTGCATTTGGGGCATCTCTAGATCTTACAAAATGCTACCGAAGTAATAAAAAACTGCTGAGAAAAATTATTGAAATTTCATATGCTATGTTTTCTCTTTTATTTTCTTCAAAAATTTATCTTCTTTCAGTTTTCATACTCCCTCTATCTCATACTCCTTCCGTCCCATAGAAAGGTTCTCGCTTTCCTTTTTTGGACGTCCCATATAAAAGTTCTCATTTCCATTTTAGAAACAATTAACAATCTTAAATAACAAATTAATCATTAAATATTAAAAATAATACATTTATAACACCACAGTTATCAACACTAACCCCATTATATTATATACTTCCTCCGTCTCTTATAACTTTGCCAACTTTCCTTTTTTGGTTGTCCCAAAAACTTTGCCACTTTCCCTTTTAATCAATCAATTTGTGACTTCTTTTACTTCTCTCTCCTCTTCACAAATCTTTACCACACAGTTTTTACTTTATTATTCTACGTACCGGTCAAACTTGGCAATCCTTTTAGGGACGGAGGGAGTACATATTAAAATTATATCTCAAAATATACTCGAACTACTTTATTTAATTATTATCTAAATAACCGTGTCATTTTGCCGTGACAACCTTTCAACGGAACGAAGGTAGTATTATCTTTAAACTCTTCTTTTTCATTTGTCCCAAAATAATCTTCACTTTCCTCTTACAACAACAGACAACATCCTAGCCTTAGTCCCAAAAGAATTTGGGTTAATTTTCTTGTTATGGTAAGGAATTTGCGGTTCATGTCATTTTCTCGTGCAAATAGTATTTGGAAGATTATACTCCCTGTTTGGATATGACTATCCTTTTTTCGTCCTTATTTTATTTGCTTTGTCGTTCACCAGTTAGAAGCAGACACCTTAAGAAGAGAAAAAATAAGGAGTGAATTTGGAAGGTACAAAAAGGCAGTGAAGAGGGTTGATTTGTTTTGTTCTTTTAGATTTTTTGTGTCAGTGTGTAAGTTGTAACATTGTGTTCATTTCATGTTGACAAACACTTTTACATGGTAGTGATTAGTGTTAAATGATTTCACCGAATATTTTTTGCAGTGGCAGCCGTTTTCAGTTTGGCTAATAAACTTCAGCCAGCTATAATATTCATTGATGAGGTTGACAGTTTGTTAGGGCAAAGATCTGGAACAGAAAATGAATCACTTACCATCATGAAGACTGAATTCTTGAGTTTGTGGGATGGTTTTACAACTGATCGTGAGTATCAATTATCAAGCAACAAATCCAACAATGCACATAAGATGCATAAAGAATCATAGCTAGGGATGGACTCGGTTCGGGCCGGGGCCGGTTCGGGCCTTGAACCGGCCGGGCCTCGGTTCAAGGTATGGGAGGCCCGGAACCGGCCCGGGTAACCCCCGGGTCCGGGCCGGGCCTTGGGTATATATTTTTTTTTTGAAGCTTTTCCTATTTAACCCACAACCCTCCCCCTCACCCCCAAACCAACCCTAACCACCTCAAATGGCCCAAAATACCCAGCCCAACCCAAAACTTAAAAAAATTCAAAAAAAACAAAATTGGCCCGGCCCGGGCCCGAACCGGCCGGGCCGGTTCACCTTTTGAAGGGCCCGAGCGCGAACCGAGAATCCACCGGGCCGGGTGGCCCGAACCGGCCAACCAACCGGTTCACCAGGCCGGTCCGGGCCCGCACAGTGGCGGGCCGGTCCGGTTCCGGGCCGGTTGGCCCGGCCCGAGTCCACCCCTAATCATAGCTCATCCTAGTCATCCATATTTAATATTATGCTGGATTTCTATATTATTTTCCTCCTAGTGATTATAAAATCTAACCTCTTTATTCCTTGGTTTTTTATGTAATCACAATGTGATTCTTATATTTTTGAAGAGTGTGCTCAAGTTATGGTTCTAGCGGCAACCAATCGCCCTTCAGACCTTGATGAAGCAGTACTTAGGCGTTTCTCTACAGCTTTTGAGGTTGGAAAGCCTAATGATGCAGATAGAGCAAAGATTTTGCAAGTAATTCTGAAGGATGAGACAGTGGAGTATAATATTGACTTCAACCACATTGCTCAGCTTTGTGAGGGGTGCACTGGGTCTGATATTCTTGAGACATGTAAGCAAGCAGCCTTCTTTCCTGTGCGGGATTTCTTGAAAGATGAAAAGAATGGAAGTGAATCACAAGTCAGTATATCGTTTCCTTGTTTGTTATTTAGATAGAAATAATGACAAATATACGACTAAAATATGACTAATCAACAAAAATACGACTTTTAATACACAATGGTTGTAGTGGTATTTTGGCAATGGATGTGTAGTAGCTTCATGGTTATATTTTTTAAGTGACGCGATGATCAATTATACACTATAGTTACCATAGTTCTATTTCCACATTCACTGTCATGACCATATATTCGTACTTTTGTCCATCAATTTTATTTTATTAATATTATAGGAAAAACTGCATATTCCAACTGGATGATCTTAGAACAAGTAGAAAGAAAGAAAGAATATGACTAACTTAAGTTTTACCTGAAACCAAGAATGCGGTTCGTAGAAGAGAAGATACCCATTCTATATTTTCTTTTTATGATTGATTACCCATTTTCTAGTTCTATGACCTCTATCACTCAAATATGTTAGCAACTGTGTCCACACAACCTTTGGCTTATTCACTGCTACTAACTACATTGCAGGAACTGAGGCCATTGTCACAGTCTGACCTGGTGATAGCTTTCACTAAATCTGGACAAACAGGATAAATATGAGGTTATATGTGCACTACGAAATAATGTAGATTTTTACTTTGGAAAAAAGTGCATTAGGCGAAGTTTGTTTCTGTTTCCATATTTAAACTCACCAATGAAACATATATATTTGTTAATGGCAGGAACTCTAAAGCAAATGACAACGAGCATGTACTTGTTCTGAATGTCACAATTGGTCATTGCATGGAACATAAATTATACTCCGAATTTTCGCTATGATGTGGTCACTGTTAATATCTTCTTTGACATAATCACACAACTGTAAAGTGAACTCTTGACTATATTAATGAAGTGTACATGGTCTCCTTAGCTAACTATTCAATTGTTGATTTGATAAAACCGCACCAAATAAATTTTGATAAAATTTATTGTTAATTCTATTTGTACTTTGTTTCTTTCTAATAATAAATTTCGTTGATATGAGTATGCATCAACTCTAAAGCTTTTTTTCTAAATTCAGAATAATTTGTATATAAAAATATCAACAAGTTCATAAATCCGAAAATGGATTTTTTTAAATCTCCGTGGTTTTGGATATATGGAATCTAAAAATGGGAAAGTTTTTATTCAATCTGAAATGTATATCCAAATAGCCTAAATCCGAAAAGTTTTTTTTTCACTTCATAATAATTTGATGATTTGTGAAAACCAAAGGCAAAACCTACACCTTTTGGAATGGTATGCACCACTCTTACACCAAAATGTCAAAGACCTATCTACTTGTTCAGAACATACAATATACCATAACTACTTATTCTAACTAGAGTGTCAACATGCACCATTTTTTTCCCTAACTAGAGTGTCCGACAGACTGCCAATCACAATTGGTCATTGCTTGGTATATTCGCTGTCTAGATGTTCTCAAGGACAGTTGCAATTAAATAGCATGTTATTGATCTAGTAAATTTTTAATTGCATCAAACAGAAGTGGTTAAACCTAAACTAATGACGAATCATTCATATCTGTAAAAAATGTACCCACAAAACGCCTTCGAGCAGACCCATAGATAAAATGAATAAACAGAACACGCTCTTGTACCTCTAAGTGGTTAGTCTTGAGCTGATTTGTCAACAGGATATGGACTCACAATCTTCAACTTAAAGCACAAGTCTAACCCAACAGCAGCAAAAAGAAAAACGAACACATTCTCAGTGACATACAGAGCATGAGAAAACAAGTTTACTGGATCGTCCAACTCTAAACCTGAACGGTCACTTAGAGTTGCAAGGCCTGCATCACAATCGCAAAAGTATTTATTAGCATCAGCCAAAGTTCCTACCATCACATAACATTTTGGGTTCTGTAATTCGTTTACAGATGGTGGTGTCAGTTTCATTTTTTTTTATCATTTTAGAAATGCAAATTACCCTTGACAAAACCAAATGCCGCAGAAGTTCCAGATTTGAGCTGAAAATTGTCCAAGTCTCTTCTCACTGCGTAACGAAACGTGACCCCAAACAATGCACAACTAACAAAAGTGATGGCTGAAGGAAGTATCAGCTCATGGTAGGTGGTGATCTGGGTCAAGGACATAGGAAGCCCAGCAATGGTGCCAACCACTGCCGAAATCAATGCAGCTTTTACTGACTCCATTCTCTCGTCATTTTTTGACGTTGCTTTGCTTACTACCCCTCTCATATCCTCTCCGGAACTAAGAGATCGCTCAGCCTCTTCAAGCATAGCTTTTGCTTCTGAAATGTCTCTCTGGCACTCTGCAATCTTCAAATTCAAAATACCTCAATAACCCCCCTTTCTTCCCTGTCTTTCTATGAAATTAAGGTGAGGCCAAGCATTGCTTCTGGGCTTTCTACTTTCATGGTCTGAGACCTCATTTCAACTATGCATTTTGATCAGGGAAATGATTTGGATTCATCATCAGCTTGACTCTAATAATACATTGAAATTTGTGGTTCCATAGGTTCAAACCTCACACATGGAGTATTAGCTTGTTATTTCACTCTAAGTAGACATGGGTTCAACAACTCTGTTCTATCTATTCAGACTTGAGCTCAAAACTCAAAACGGGTATTCAGAGTAGCCCAAAACCTTCTACATTGGTTCTTTATTCTATACTTCCACGCCTAAGTGCGAGATAAGCAAGATTGAGCAAAAAAATTAAAAAATTCTAAAAGGTCTGGAAGGAACAGTAAAACAATACCTTCACCTTTTAGTTTGTATACTTATATTATCTCTAGTGCAAGTATAATTCCAAACATTAAAACATGCAGTTATTATACATAAAGAGTGAAAGGGAGAGGGCAGACCTCAGAAGCTGAGTTTTCGAGCCGATTAACGTAATCTCTTGCCACCATGGCCTCAATTTGTTGCCTTTTAATCTCAGCCAACTCTTGCTTGGCGATTTCAACTCTCCGGGTCGCTTTTTCCAACCCCTGAAGCAAGACCCGGTTCTCTTCCCGCCCCAGAAGTTCCTGTACTTTGGCATCCACTATACTAGCCAAAGGGTCATTTAAACTGCGAGAGTTTCCTTCCTCCGAGCTACAGTCACCGCCGATGCACCTGATGGTCGGAGAACGAGATGTAGACGATTGGGAATGACGGGTTGAGAACTTTAGTGGGTTCGCGCAGATCTTATTAGTGAGTATGAAGAAAGTTTTGTGGTTTGGAGATGGAACCAGTGAAGGCTTCAAAGCGGCCGATACAATGATCATCTTCTGCTCTTGTGAATGTGTGAGTAGGATCAAGCACAAATAAGTTCAGTGACTTTGTTTAGACGAGTTTTAGCACATTTAATCCTAGTATAAACAAATTGACAATTTTATCATTTTACTACTTGGGATGTTTTCACTTGGGCAGTAATTTGCTGGTCTGGTCTGATCTGGTCTGGTCTAGTTTCTTTGTATTTTTATAAATATCCAAGTCTGGTCTAGTCTGGTCTGAATTGGTCTGATCTGGTCTGATCTGGTCTGGTCTGGTCTGGTCTGGTCTGGGACGAATTACAGTCCAAGTAAAAACATCCTTCCTCTATTCCGGATAGAACTTAAATTAATATAGGAACAAATGTCTTTCCTGCCATGTGATTTTTGTGGGAATTAATGGTATACACTCAAACTAAAAAATTGAATGAGTAATGAAGGGTAGTTAGAACATTTAATGTAAACGGAATTGTCTAAAAAGGAAACATAAAGTAGTAAATGGGACGACTCAAAAAGGAAAGTGTAAAGATTTAAATGGGACGTAAGGAGTATACATTTGACATTATAAATGAAGGACTAAAAATGTCACAATTATAATTGTTGAAGGACTAAAAATGTTACCATTATAACTGTTGAAGGACTAAAATTGTCACTTTTTTGAAAGTCGAATGATTAGATATAGTAAAAAAAATGACACTTCATCTTTGATGGCCTTGAGGGCCAATTAGACAGTTATGTAGGCGGATATAAATTGAGTTTTGGTCTGAATTAGATGGAAAGAAAGTGTGATTCCATCCTAAGTCATTATTAGATTTGAACTCGGAACCTCTCCCTTATGCCCCCGTTCCTACCAGGTGAACTACGCCCCCTGATTTCGAAAGATTAAATATAGAAATTTCAAAAATGAATATCAAAATTGTCTTTCTACAATATTCGAAGGATTAAAAGTGAAAAAACTAAATATGTGTGCCAAAAGTGTCAATAAATAATAGTTAAAGAACTAAAAGTAGAGGTGGGCATATCGGTTCGGTTCAGCTTGGAATGAGTTGGAAGAATTATTACCAAATAAAAATCATACTATTTTACGATTTGGTTCAATTTGGGTTTGTTATTTTTTAATACTCCGTATATTTTAATAATATATGAAGGTTTTATTGAATTTCTTTACTTCGGTTCAATTTTGTTCGATTTTATCAATTTCGATTCGATTTAATACGATTTGAACGAAAAACTATCAAACCTAAACCAAATTGCATATGATCTGGTATTAGTTCCATTTAACACGATCCGATTCGATTAAACCAAATTGATAGTCACCCCTCAATAGCAATAAAAACGCTTCTTTAAACCGCAACCGCCAACGAGTAGTTGAGTTTTTTTCGAATTAATGTTAATTAATTAATTAATTACGAAAATAATGCTGGTAAAAAAATATTTACCGATCTACTGCTGGGTTTAACCATGGTCAGAGAAAGTCGCCCAACGGTTGGGCGACTTATAAGTCGTCAAACGATTTGGCGACTTATGAGTCGCCCAACCGTTGGGCGACTTTCCCCTTCCATATGAACGCAGACCAACATCTACTGCTAGCCACGCACGATCGTGCCTGCACGGGTAGGCACGATCGTGCCTAATTCCGAAAACAGAATTTCATCAGTTTTTTTGCCCCATTTCAACCCAGACTCATCTTTTTGCTATAAATAAGGTCTCCCTTCTCCTGTTTAGGTGTTACGAGTGAGATGCAACACATTATAAAACATACAACACACCTGTTCACAAACACATACATAAACACATACAACTCACCGGTAAATCATAGTACAATCATCAAACATTCATAACAATTAATCGTCTAATATTCATACTCGAACACATAAATACAACATATAAGAGAAAATACGTAAAATGTTGTAAATTGTTCCTACAACATCTAAAATGTTGTAAATTATCCAAAATGTTGTACAAGAAAAACTGCAATACAAAAGACAAAGTAGAAGTTGTCATGGTCATCTTCATCAGATTCTATCATATCTTCACCGTTGATGTTGTCGTCAGCATCATCATCACTTCCCTGCCCATCCACAAATGATGCACCGTTGTGCAAATACCTACCATCTTCCTGTATAACCATGTCCAGTACAGGAGCATTTGAGGAGTTCCCAGCATTCACACCTGCATTGACATAATGCCTAGATACAACAGCATTTGATGTTGATGGAGTATGATAAGCGTCACATATGGATTCCTCAATGTATATCTCAAGCATTGACATGTCCTCCATCTGAACTATGGCCCACATATTTGTTATAGCTAGCTCATCAGTGAGGGGCATAAGCATGTACTTTCAAATATATCCAAAAGTCAAGATTCACAAACAACTCACATTTCAATATGAAAATACCCAAATTTTGATATCTACCTTCAAGTCTACATTTCAATACCCAAATTTAGCTACATTCAAATCCACCCAAATGCCCAAATGTCAAAATACACTTTAAAATTTACAATCAATTTTAAATCAAATTTCAACATTTCATAATCTAAAAATTCGAAAATTTTAACATTCAAAACCCTAAGTTAAAAATGAAATGAAATGGAGTTTGATTTACCTACAAGAAAGAAGAAAGAGTGTTGAAGATGAAGATGGAGGTTTGTCGGAGTGGGGTCGCCGGATATGGAAGTTCGCCGGAGTTGGAAATGGCTCGGTCGTCGTTCGTCCTTCGTCCTTCGTAGCTGCTGCTTGGGGGATTTGGGGATTGGGTTTCGTTCGCAGTGTTCTGTTTTGCGGCTGGTCGCTGTTTTTACTTAATGGAAAGTCGTCCAACGGTTGGGCGACTTATAAGTCGCCAAACGGTTTGGCGACTTATAAGTCGCCCAACCGTTGGACTACTTACCCCCGACCACGATTAACCCAGCAGTATATTGATAAATACTTTTAACTCAACCATATTTTCGTAATTAATTAATTAATTAACATTAATTCGAAAAAAAAACTCCGAGTAGTTTAGTAACTACTCCACAGAGATCCTCATATGGAGGCATTTCCAAGCTGAGCTGTATCCAGTAGCGTCACCTCCTCCATCTGTACCACGTGCATTGTCATGCTTTATAATTGAGTTGGAAAGCTCGGAACTTACAGCTTTGCCCTCAAAGCTATGAGGGTTCCACTCCTTTTTGCTATTCCTAAATCCTAACCTATGGTAAAGAACCCAAATCAATCCGCGTTAGGTGCTGCCCATAAGGTTTTTGTTTTAGATCTGGGTACCAGAAAAAGAATTAAATTGGCTCATAAAAAGAGATGGCCTTTCTGGCAAATCTTCCTCTGAAGTGTATGTAATATATAGACACTTTGTCTCTTGCCAATAACAATTTCCCTCTTCCTCCAAATGGATATGGCCATTCATCTTAGGATTTCAAGAAACTGCCATTTTTGGTACCTTCTCCTCTTATTACAAGCCACTTGCCTCTTCTGCTACCAATACAAGGTTGGAGATTTGGATTCTTGGAACATTCCCTCTTCAGGAAATTCCAATGTCTACGCCAATTGGGCAAAACATCATGTTCTCAAGATCGGAGATTCACTATGTAACCCTTCTTCATTTTTGCTTACTTCTTCTGTTTTCTTGTGTTACCTTAAAATTACCCTTTTTTTACTATACCTTTTGCCATTTCTGCAGTGTTTTTGTACCCACCAAGTCAAGATTCAGTAATACAAGTGACTGCTCAATCATACAAGGACTGCAACACAAAAGATCCAATCTTGTTTATTGACAATGGCAACTCCTTGTTCAACATAACAGAACCAGGGGACTATTTCTTCATTAGTGGGGAAAAGGGTCACTGTGAGAAGTCTCAGAAACTTCATATTTTTGTGGCAGGAGGGAATGCTTCTTCATCATCTCCTTATGATGCAGTCTCACCCACAGCTTATGGTCCATCTTCTGCAGCTTCTGGACCTTCTGCCCCTAATGTTTTTGGGTCTATTCCTTTTCAAGGTTCCACTTCTTCCTCATTGAAGACTCCATTCTTTTTGCCAGTTTTCTTGATTGGCCTGGTTTATATCTCTATTCTTCAACAGAACCATATGTTTATAAGGGCAGATTGATGCATTCTTTCCAGCAGTTTGATGTCTTGATCCATTCTTGAAAAATTCATGTGATTTTATATTTTAGATACACTTTGTGGTGGGTTCTTTAGAAGCAACTGTTGTAAAATTATTATTCTCTTGGCAGGATATATATTTTTCCATGTTTGATGTCTTCCTACCCTTATTTTTTATTGATGTGTTTATATTACTGAATGATGATTTATTATAAGAAGAAACATCGATGTTAAATCTACTGGAATCTGACATTGCAATATTTTGATCAAAATTAGACTTTGCATAATTGAGAAGAGGTCCAATCTCTTAAATTCAAGTCAAGTTTGAATTCAAGATAATGTTCAAACTGGTTTCGTTATTTTGTAGTTGATGTAAATTACATTTATTTGATTTCTTATGATTGCACATTTGCACTCGCACTAAGGGTGTTACTGTGTTAGGACCAAAACATGTATTTTGCCTTTAATTTTCATTTTTACACACAAATAATACATTCACATACACACATGCACTTAAGCTAAACTTCGAGCTCGATATTTCAAAAACAAATTTATAATTCAGGATTTTTAGTGCGCAAGTAACTGAACATGAAATGAAGCTCGTAAGATCTTCATGACCCGTACTTGAGATATTCACTAATCACAAAACCAATAATAATACTAATAATAGTAGTAGTAATGATGATAATTATAATAATAGTAGTAATAAAAGTCATAATAATAATAATTTTCCGAAGAATAATTGTCTCTAAAGCATCGGGTTTTTATTTTAAAGCTCTAGGGACTTGTCTCTATTTCTTTTTAATCTTGAGGGTCTTATTGTGTGGGTTTAATAGTTATGCATAGAGATTCTAAAATAGAAGAATTTCTTTTTCTTTTTTAAATCCAGAATTTGTAACTTGCAAGTGTAATCACGTTAGGTGCTTAGCTTAGAAATTGCTCTAAATAGGAGCAAAAACATTTTGAAATTCCAAAATAGGAGTATCATGTTTTTTGTTCCCTGAATAGGAGTATTCTGCCAAGTTTGGAAAAAATGTAATGTTTTAAAGTCTAGTAATGTCAAACTTGGAAGAAATTTAATCGTATTCAAGGAATAAAAAACATGATACTCCTATTTTGGAATTTCAAAACTTTTTTACTATTTAGGGAATTCTCTCTTGATTATACTATGCGGAGACCTGAATATTAGTTTAATGGGATAAAGACTTCAATAAGACAAACAAAGGCTAGGAACTAACTTTACAATAGGACTAACTTTACACGGAAGGGACAAAAGTACCCCTTAGGTACTCGTAGATGAGGAAGCTATTGGAGAACACGGAATGTAATCTCTTAAGTACCCCTTACAAAAGGGGCCTGTTTGGTTTGGGGTAATCTCACATGAAGGCCGGAACGTGATGCACGGAATGTAAGATACCCATGTTTGGTTCACGGGTTTGAGAAAAAATCGGAAAAGATACATTCTCGGGAATGTAATAAGGAGGGGAATCTTATAACCATCCATGCCTTAGGTTATCTTACATTTCCGTAGGGATGGACCGGTTCCGGTCTGCCCGACACGGGAACCGGCCCGGCCCGCCACTATACGGGACTGGCCCGGTCCGGGCCTATGATCCGACCTAGGGGTGTTTCGAGGTTGGGCTCGGGCTGGGTGTTTCTTTGGTACCGGCCTGGTCGGGTCGGGATCGGTCCAGGCCAATTTTTTTTTTGAGGTCTTTGGGTGGTAGGCGGGTTGGGCTGGGTGTTTTGGAGGGGTTTGGGGTGTGGGGGTGGGGGGTAGGAATTAATTAGAAAACCAAAAAAGAACTACCCGGCCCGGCCCGGAACAAGTACAATCCCGAGCCGGTTCCGGGTCTTAACCCTCAACAATAAAGCCCGGATTGGACCAGCCCGGAGCTCGGCCCGGTCCGGAACCGGTCCATCCCTACATTCTCGGGGATGGTCTAATTTTCTTCCGAAAATACCCTTAATTAATTGTCTCTTTTTATTTAATTTCTTTATATATTGCGATTTTATAAAACTTTTAATGTAGTTTCTAAATCTGTAAATTCTATTACTAAAAAATAATCTTATTATTGAAAGAGATCGATTAATTTTATAGTCAGTCGATCTTAGATTGTGTGACAACCTTTTAAGTGTGACAAATGGAGTATGTTTATTTAATTACATTTGAATGCCTATTCTTGTTATTTTCATAATTCTTTTTTCCTTAACATTTAATTTTTTTAAGGTATTTATTTTATAAGACTTATAGATTATTTAAGTTTTTGATGAGAGGATTTCAAAATTTAATGGCCAAATTGATCATTTTTATTTAATCTTGAAAATAAGTTTTATGAATAACTTGAACATTTTTAATTTTTTTTGAGATAATAATAAATATATTTAGATTACTATTTGAACAAAGTTTTTTTCACGGATCTACAACTTCTTACAATTAAACGTAGTTTACTTAAAAATAATTCAATTAGCTAGGTTTGATTTTATTTATTATTAAGATATTTCATTTTTTCTTTAATTTTAATTACTTTAGATGTAGGTTGTAATAGATTTATTTTGTAAACATTATAAAAATGTGACAATGTTAACATTATTTATTTTGTTCACACTAGTATTATTAAATATATTTTTTTGAGAATTGGTATTATTAGATATTAAATATTGTAATGATGTATGTCAATCACAATATAGTGAATGTTCCATCACTATATAAATTACATTACTAAACATAATGTCAATGATTGCCTCTATTTGTGCTCCGGCAACCGCCACTTCTAGTGCACAAATGACCCCGTAGTTGGACCTTTTGGTAACTGCCGTCTCTAATACTCTGGCGACCTCCTCAGCCAGTCTTTTGAGGACCTCCGCCATTGGTCCTACGTTGTACAAAGAAGATGCTACAAGGTAAAAAAAAATAGCCCAATGTCAAGATAAAATGGCACAATGTCAAAAAAATGTCATAATGTCTAACATTATGATAATAAATATTGATAACATTTAAACAGTGTTACACGGTTGTAAACATTGTCAAAATGTAAGAAAATGTTACAAAGTAAAAATGTTAAAATGCTAAAAAAAATTAAAATGTCAAAAAATATTACAGTGTCAAACGAAGTTGATGTAATTGACTTTGCCGGATTTGGTTGATGAGGGTGAAGGTGTGACGAAGCCTTTAATGTAGCGGTAGTCGTGGGGAAGGTAGTCAAGGATCCTCCGATCCAGTTCTATTGAATATGGGATTTGAAGGCAATCGATGAGTTCCGGCAAGTGGTGAAGTGATAGCCGTCCACGATTGAAGAAGACGGAAAAATAGTTACGCAGTTCGAGTTGGTGAGGCTGCGATCAAAGCTACTTCAATTAATTACACCAGGGACAAAATGGGCATAACAATTAAAAATAGTCCTATTTAGGTATAAAAAGCTTGGTGGTCCTAACGGGTATGATGGATAGTGTTCCCGGGGGGTAGCTTATCCGAGGGGTTATTACGGGAAATAACTAGAGAGAAGTCAGAGCAAATGAGTATAGAGAGAGAAAGTATATTAGAAAGTATGCAGCGTGTTGTATGTCTTACGACTTGGTTACAAAAGGGGAAATGGGGTGCTATTTATAGTAGCAATAAATGCCAGACAGGGACACGTGTCAAGCGTCCATTGACCGAGAGGTCACCTCAACTGGTTGGCGCTGGCAACCGCATTTAATGCGGCTGTCGGATGGGACGTTGTACAGGGTACGGTGATCCATACGCATGTGGAGCGGATATTATGTCGGAAAAGGCGCCATCGGCAGTAGATGACAAGCCGAGGGCCCTGAGTACCGGGGACCCCCTTAGTGTCGAGGGCTCCAGTTGCCGAGAGCTACTGATTTTCGCCGTTTTCTCCCAGTAACTTTGTTTTCCTGTTTTGACCTTCCTGTGAGAATCAGAGCCTTCGGCCAGGGGGCCGAAGGCACCCCTGATGCGCATTGTGGGCTGCTTGGTGCCTTGGGCGCCGTGATTTGGGTCTGTTGTGCTTCCTGGGTCTATTGGGCCTTTATTGGAGTAGTAGGAGTCTGTGGGTCGGGGGTTCCCGGGCCATATACTCCATCAGGGTATATAAGCTTTTTTTTAGTTCTATTGAGGACCATTCCTCTAGTTTACAAACATTTTGATCGGCGTTTCTTCATAAAAAGCCGATCAAATTAATCTGTACACAAACAATTTGACCGACGTGTAAACCGACGTGTAGCGGGACTCAATAGCAAAAGACCACTTGAATTGATCATTTGGTGGGTAGTGGGCACTTTATAGTAGAAAGATACAGCTTCGATTAGAGAGTTTTGTTTTACAATATAGCGGGTTTCAGATTTGGTTTATTAGTATAATGGGTTTTAATTGTAATGTTACATTTAATTAAGATTAAACAGAAGACTTTATCGGAAGAAGTTATAGATGTAATATATAAGGTGCAGGGTGAACAAAAGAGTAGGAAAGACATTATGTTAAACAGAGAAAATTAAGGGAGATTTCCCAAAATATGAGTAAATGAAGTTTTAAATTCCAAAATAGGACTAATTTGTTTTTATTCCCGAAATGGGACTAACATGACAGTATTTACCGTCATCTTGTTGCCGTGACTGCCAAATAATTGCAGTACAATGCATTTAACATGACATTATTTATTATAATTAATGACAGTATTCTTCAATCATGACAATATTTTTCGTACATGACAGTAATAACTCCTATTTCGGGAAGAAAAACATATTAGTCCTATTTTTGGAATTCCAAGTGTCATTTGCTCCTATTTTGGGTAATTTCCCTAAAATTAATGATAAGAGAAAGGGAGATTTACCTAAATAGGAGTAAATAAAAGCATAATTGCAACAATAGGAGTTTAAAATTTAAATTCCCAAAATAGGACTAACTCTTCCTATTCTACCCTTTCCCTTGTCCTTAATAATAGGATTTTTAACAATCATTATAAAATATAAAAAAATCAAAATAAAAAAATAAAAATCGTAAAAAATAATTAAAAAATATATAGACCTCAACCACCACCTCAGCCACCTTTCAGCACCACCACCTCCGGTCGCCGTGAAAGATTGCCAAGTTGGAGAAAAAATGTCATCATGATGGCAATTTTGAAGAGAAAGCAAGAGAAAGTTGAATGCTTTCAAAGAGTAAAAATGCCATCTTTATGGCATTTTCAGAGAAATGTAGTATTGTTTACACAAGATGGCATTTTTTCCTGCGACCGGAGCCGGTGGTGCTGGGAGGTAGAGGACGCGTTGGCAGTGACCTGCATATTTTTATATATATTTTTTAGGTATTTATTTTAATTTTTGGACTTTTAAAAAAAATTTAAATAATTTATTTATTATTTATTATTTATTATTTTTATTTTATTTTTTCACGTTTTCATTATTATTTTATAAATTTTTTATTCTTTTTTATATTTTTATTATAAATAAAACTATGATTTTCTTATTAATAAAATAAATCTATTGGGAATTATAGGAAGGGGGTAGAATGGGAAAAAGAGATACAGGTAACAAAAACCAAAAAAGAATATGAGAAAGTGAGGAAGTACTCCGAAGTAGGGATGACAATTTAACCTGACCCGATGGATACCCGCACCAAATCGAACCGGTCAAAATGGGGAAAACCGCTTTGACTGGGTAACGGGTACGGGGCGGGGAATACCCGATTTATGTAAACGGGTAATGAGGCGGTTATGGTTTTATACCTTCCGCCCCGTTACCCGCCGAGTTACCCGCCCTGTTACCCGCCTTGTTTAATTTGGATACGGTTACCCGCACAATTACCCGACCCGCACAATAATTTACATATTATAATAGTTTATGTATTTATTATTTAATATATTAAGTATATATGAATAGTAGTACATTAGTATATGACACTTATTCCCTCTAATTTTTTGAAAAATATTCAACTAATCGACTATCCTTTCATTTCTAAGGAGTTGGTGCTCAAAGTTCACTATTTTAGATTTTTAATTTTTAATATCATTCATCATCCTTCCTTTGTTAACTTCTACATGATTTATTTTCTTCACATATTGATTATTTGATTTTCGTGATTTTTTGTACACAATTTTCACATCGTGACTCTCTTAATTTTTCACCCAATAATTTTCATAAAGCTCACATATGAGTTTAAAGTCCAAATATTGGGAAACATTACTCTAGATTGCTTTAATTTATGTAATTGTTAATAATTTTGTAGAGGTGTATTGGATGATTAGATTAATTTTGATTGGTTGCTCTAATTTATATCAAGTTTAAATTTAAATTATGATGTTTCTAAAACAGTAACTACAAGAATACCTAAATCATAGTATTAGAAGTACATTTTTTTAGAAATAATTCCAAATCTATAATCAAAATAAAAGTTATGGACGAAAATGTGACTCTAGTAACTTTAGTATTTATAATTTTAATAAAATGTTATATCGTAGTGACTATAAAACTTACCCATGGTTACTTATAGTCACATTTATGTCCATATATTTTTTATTAGTAATATTTTAGGGAAAAAACTTCCCATTTTCATTATGTTACTTGTATACATTATTGTTCTTAAATTTAGATGTTGAATGATGGTGGGTATGATTATTGAATTTTTGGAAGTTAAATGTGTTTGTGATTCATATTTAGATTTTACTATTGAGACAAGACTTAATCTTTTGATGTTGATGTAGTAAGAGATTCATAATTTTGAATCTAGACATATATAATTTGTGAATATTAGGTTCAAACAATTATAATTTTTTGTGATGTTTTAAAAAACCTTATCTATGGTGCTATTTAATTTTGATTTTTTTAATTTAGGTGGTCAATTATAAGTAGTTAATCATCATTTTAGGATTTATACTAATTAATTTTGAAGGAAAAAAAATATCTTTTAATAAATCGGTTACCCGCGGGGAAATCGTTACCCGCGGATAAAAAATACCTGACGGGTAACGGGGCGGTTTCGGGGTAAAATATTATCAAATGGGGCGGGTACGGGTAATGGTATACCCGACCCCAAACCGCCCCGTTGCCATCCCTACTCTGAAGTAGGGGTGCAAATGAGCCGAGCCGCTCGTGAGCTGCTCGGTCAAAACTCAAATCGAGTTTGGTCAAACTCGAGCTCGAGCCGAGCTCGAGCCAGCTCGTTAAGCAGTCGAGCCATAAACGAGCCTACTAATTTTAGGCTCGCGAGCCTAGTTTTACATGTGTGTATAGTTATATATTTAATATATATATATATAATATTAATGTAAATTAATACATAATATATATTAGTATATATAATATGTATAATATAAATTAATATATATAATACTGATTGGTAAATGTATACGAGGATCGGGGAGATTATTTTTTCTAGTTTTAGTTAAATCATCATGGTTCGATCATTTTTTATATATTTTGGATAACATTTACTTTACTTTTAGTTGTTGGGCATGTAAATTTAAATTTGTAAATACTAAGAACAAATATTCAAAGATTGTTTCATACTTCAGCTCGAGTTCGAACCCGAACGTTCGAGTTAATCGAACTTGTAACATTTGAGTTGAAGAATCAAGATTATCAAACCGAGCCATGTCAATATTTGCGAGTCGAGCTCGAGTCCGGATTTTTTAAGCTCGTTCGAGCCAATACAATGCATTTCGAGCTCGAGCCTACATAAACTCGGTTTGGCTCGTTTGCACCCTACTCCGAATGTCTCCGAAAGCAGTCCTTAAATTTGAAAGGCGCGCGTTTTTTAGAATTAATAAAGGCGGTTGTAAAAAAAGGACAACAAGGTGTCGTGGTGTAGTTGGTTATCACGTCAGTCTAACACACTGAAGGTCTCCGGTTCGAACCCGGGCGACGCCATGTCTTGTTTTTGTATTTTTAATTTTTTCTGTTAACACGTTGCTTTATGCGTTGTTCGCTTCTTGAGCTGTTATTATGTCATTTTGATCGTTTAATTACTTTTTAATTTAGCCCTAAAACCTTGACGGCTTCACCTGAAAAATAAATAGAAATTGCTCAATATAGGAGTAAATATAAACATAATTGCACAAATAGGAGTAAAACTTAAAACTTCCTTCAATAGGAGTAAACATTAATTTTGTACCCTTAATATCCCTAACCTAGTTAATTCTAAAATATGACTTATTTAATCGTAACCTAGTTAATTCTAAAATATGACTTATTTAATCGTAACCTAGTTAATTTATGACTTATTCGATAATAATTTATTTATTTATTTATTTTTCAAAAAATAAAAAAATATTTTTTTTAAATAAAAAACTCAAAAAAAATAAAATAAAATTCATCACCGCCTCTGCCACCTCAGCACCACCACCTCCAGTCACCAGGGGGAAAAATGCCAAGTTCATTACGAATGTCATATTTATGGCAGAAAACAATGAAAATGTTGGCATTCGCAAAGAGAAATATGCGATGTTTTTTGGCATTTTCAGAAATAAAGGCAGTTTTTAGGAAAAATGGAATTTTTTTTCACCGTCCGGAGGTGATGGTGCAGGGAGGTAGTGGAGGCGGTGGGAAAGACATCCATATTTTTTTTAATTTTTTATGGAGTTTTACTATTTTTTATTAATTTTTTTTAAAAATAAAAAATTAAAAAAATTTGTTTTTTTTAATTATTTATTTTATTAATATTTTATAAATTTTTTAATTATTTTTCTACGATTTTTTGATTTTTTTTCGAATTTATTATGAATTAAACATTTAATTAATAGTTGTTGGGGTTTGGGTAGGGGTATACTTGTCCAAACACTAAAGTTACTCCTATTCAAAACATAGTACTCCTATTTTTGCATTTTACCTATGTTTTGCTCCTATTTTTGGAATTCTCTCAAAAATTAAATACATACTTTATCAGAAATAAAGTATTTTATTATTCAAATTAAAATTAACGTGTGTGAACACATACAATTTCTGCTATCATCCAAATAAAATAGCAAATTTAGCATTATTTAGTTTTAATAAATAAAATAAATTTTAAAAAATACGAAAAATAATTATAAATTTAAAATTCAAAATTGAATAATTTAAATAAAATAGTTGTGTCCCCTTCCCCCGTTTATCATTTTTATTTAAAAATTTTATATTGTTAGTATCAAAATGAGTTTCATAACCTTACTATGCATTGTAATGTATTGTAATGTAAAAAATTATTAAATTGTTATATTCTTTGCATTATAAAATTACATATTTTGCATGATGATAAATAGTCTAAAATTACAAAATAGTGAAGTTAATTTTATTAAGTTTTAACAAAATCAAAGAATGTTAATTCCAAAAATGTAACAATGCATTCGATTAAAATCAATATTTATGAATTTGAAGTGCTTCATTTACAAGGGAAATATATTAGAGTTAATATGTTGACAAAAAAATAAATCTTTATTTTTAACTCTATAATTTCTATTTTTCAGGTTTAAATTTTGAATTTATAATTTATTTTATTTATTTATAGTATAAGGGTAAATTCGTTACTTTATAGAAACATTTTGGATGTTTTTGCACCTTTAGAGTTCAAGAGTATATCTGCACTTGTACACATAATTAAAAGTTATATTCACATATTTCCCATATTTTTTTCTGAATATGAGTAAGGTTACTTTCAAGTTTCAACGGGAACACACATAGTCATATTATGACATAATCGGGCATTAGAAAATACAATTGTATGATGTCATCATGGCATGATGATTTCATAATGACAATGCTTGTTTGCTCTTATTTGGGAGACAAAACATAGTACTCATAGTCATATTCAGGGAATTCACCTTACATTTACTCCTATCAAGTACAATTTGTTTATTACATTAATCAGTTAGAGCTCTAATGGAATGTTAAGATTGTGCCACTCTTCATGAGATAAAAGCTTGCAATGATACATATTACACAACCATGCTACTATTATTCTAGCAAAATCCAGTTGGAGAAATCACAGTAAAAACATTCTAGCCACTTTCTCAAGGTGCATTCTCAAATTCTAAAAGTCAACTAAGTTGATAGCATGCAATACACTGAGGCTGATACATTTGGTATTCTAAGGTGAATTCTTGCAATTCCTAAATATGAACGGAGAGAAGTTTTGGTCTTTCGTTTAGTTATCACAATACTCATGGAAGCCAATTCTAATTGCTTCCACTTGAATTATTTATATGCAAACTGAACGTCTCCATCATTAATAGAACCGGCCCTTTTCACCTTTGTCTTTAGCAAGTGTACAAAAAGTTTACATTTCATGTCTAGCAAATAATTTATGCTAGCGAGGGAGGGGTAACTCACAAAGTTTTCGGACAACGTATGAGTACACAAATAAGCTCAAATTAGTACACCACATTTAGTTAAAAGACGTGATTGTGTCATTAAATTTCCTTGATAAAGGGCTTATTCTGAACGCTTTCGGTTTTCTCCTCCCGGAAACATGCCCCAGTTCCAACATATCCCATGGTTTGGCTCATCTCCACCTTGACAACCGCGGCTAAGGAAGGCCATCCTTCCTTTGGCTGCTCATGAACCCAGCACATAATGAAATAAACCTTTCTTTCAGCAGACTTGAGCTTTTTCTTGATCTCCAACCTTTCAGATTTGGGCTGTTTAATAATGCCTGAACTCAGTTCTTCCTCTGCTGACCGAATCAGCCTTTGTAGATCACAAAGCAAGCATACCAATGCTGAACCACCAAGGTTGAGAAGCCCGACCACATCTTCCATTAGTCTGGATCCGAATTGTAGGCCACCCATGTGTCTGAGAGGAGGAGAGCATGTTTGCTCCAGACAATGTGAAAGAGCCTCCAGTACAGTTTCTGGCTGGGATCCACCTTGACCAAGAACACGAGACACAGTGAGCAAAACTGTGGCAGATCCAATAGGATCTGACTTCCAGTCGCCGTTGTATATACGGAGTGTGAAACAGTAACTGTATACAATGTCAGCCAGGTGGACTGCCAATAGTGGGGATGGTGGGGAAGCACTCAGCTTAGTGACTGAGGGTAGGGGAGATTCAGGGCCGGGTGGAATGTCGGGCAAAAGATCTGTTTCTTCTTCCTGCTTTTTAGATGAAAGTGGCTGGACAAGTTGAGTTCCATCGTGGCCGAGAGAGATATATTGGGCTGATGGGTTGGCCCACCATGGGTCCCATGGCTTTATCAATTTGCTCAACTCTCCTGATGCCATTGCTTTCCGGTATTGTTTCTGTTCTTCGGCAGATAAATCATCTAGGCTTATCTCGCCTCCTGCAATAGATTAAATCACATGACATTACTTGAGAGTTGAGAGAAAAAAAAATCAATGATGCACACTTCAAATGTCAGTGAATTGCCTACCTGATAGGACCTTTTGAATGGTTGCTTCAGACAATGAGAACTGTGGTTCTGTGACAAATGAAATGGTAGAAAATAAGTACACAAAGAATACTAAAGCCCTTGACTTTAATTCTTCCAGAAGTGGCCTCTTGAAATTCAGGACATTTACACCTAAAGCCCTTGACTTTAATTCTTTCCACTAAATGACCGGAGTTCGAAACTGTGAAAAGGCCAAACTTTTCCATACGCTTGAATATGTCAAAAGATAATTTACCCAAATCCCCAATGTGTTTACATTGTAAGGGAACACTCAGGGATGTGATGAACTATCGTATACTCATCTTTATTGACAACTTCACCCCTCTCATGTTTCTTTCCTCAGAAAAGTTGATGGAACGATCATGGAAGGAAAAATTCATGAAGTTGGGCATGTTTAGTAAGAAAATAAAAATAAAAGACTAGGTGGAATTTCATGAAATTGACGAACTAATGCTTGAAAAAGTTCTTTCCTAAAGGAAATACTTCTTATCATCCTATAGATTCCAGCAGTAGTTGGCTCCAATTTTTTGTTCCTTCGTTAGTCGAAAGGAAACAAAAACCACTAGCTATAGGACAGAGTTGCATACCTACACATCATCAAATCTCATTTCAAATACAATGGCATCACTCCATAATTTACGCGATCAAAGGCCACATAGCGATTAGGGCTAATTACTCAAGAGTAATTGTCATCACTCGGTCTTGTCATAGTTAAATGTGGCACAAACTACTTAGAAAATGATCACAAGCCTAGCACAAACTACTTAGAAAATGATCACAAGCCTAGCTCTTCATGCCTAATGAATGTGTGTACCACATAGGAATGCCTCCCCTGTAGTGTACACTTTTAATATCCTTACTCTTACACTTTAGCATAGGTTCAATAATGACACAAATCAACACTTACCATCTTCATCTAAAGATTCCATCTCTTCTTCAGAATGCAATCGTTTCAGTATTTCCACCATTTTCTTTTTACTTTTCCCATCTGGCTGCGATTGTTGCAGTTCCTCCATAACATTCTCCCTCATAAAAGATTCAGTGCAACGAAGGCTATGTGACTGAAACAATAACAAACATATGTAATATGAATGCATAAAATAGTATATGCATACATAAATACCAATGACCAGATAAGATCAAGTAATCTTAGAAGAAAAAGAATGTTTTCTGTCACCTTATAACACAGAAGAGAGCAATAACGTGTGTTGCATCGAGGGCAGGTATACAGTGAAAATTGCTTTTGACATCTGCACATGCCGCAGAATAAATTAAACATTTTATGACCTTGTAGGCCTTTAAGAAAATGCTAAGTGCTAACGTCTACGTAGTATTAAATTTTGACATTGCATGCAAGCATTCATTAGATGTAGGGTGGACTTGGTTCCAGAACCGGACCAGAATCAGGTGAGAGAAAAATTTGAGTACGCTGTTTTCCGGTTCAGGACTAGGTTTAGCCTGAACTGGTTCTGTTTCTGTTTTTTTTAAAAGCCTAAAGAACCAGAAGCAGAACCAGGAAGGGTTCTGGGTACCACCTATCTTGGACCTAGAATTGACCGGTCCAGGTACACCTTGAATTGAACGATGATGACATATCTAACTTTGAAACACCTGATGAATGTTTTGCCACTAGAATTTCTCCCTAAAATGTCTAAATTTAATCTCCCTTAGCATTACTCATAAAAGTATATATCCATGCACTTGAATGTGTACTGAATTGCGCCCCTTTACTCCAACCCTAGTACACCACATTAATACACCTTTTTTTCAAAAATGTAACACTAAGGCATCACCAAACAATTGTTTTAAATTGTAATATACTTTTATGCGAAGAAAACACTATAATTCGGAGCCCACATTATATATCACAACAATGATCTTTTGAGGGTACTTCAAACACTTTAGGCCTTACAATTCAGTACAGAGGCCATTGGAAGCAAAGCTCTTGTCAGTACAGGCCAGCTGGGATACATTACAAAATCCATTTCTCTATTCAGTTCTCTTAAGCTAACCCAATACTAACCATATCACAGCCCTTTCTGGGCTACTCCCCCCTACAGCAACGTTTATAGTTTGTGTAGCAGTGATGTTTTAATACAATTATATAAATATTTCGAATATAGAAGAATGACCAAGAGAGGCATACAATAAATATAGAACAGATGAGTTACACTTACACGCGGCATATTATGCGTGAGGATGAGTTGAGATCAGAGGACGTTGACGGCGTCTCGCCGGCGGATGTAAGAAAGGTATCCGGCATTGAAGGCTCGAAGCTGCTCATTTGTTGGACAAAAAGCTCGGGATCCTGGAAAACTTGGAAAGGTTTCCTTTCTTTCAATCAAGTCACGGACTAGGCTGCTACGAATCGCCCGCTCGGCCTGCAGCCAAAGCTCGATTCTTTTCAGTATTTCATGAAAATATAAAGCTTGTAAGACTCTTACGGTAGGAGCAAGGTTTATTCCTTTTCAACAGGAGCAAAGACAAATTTTCTTGAGAATAATTTAGAAGGTTAGAAGTTGAAGTTTGGGTAGGAGTAAGGTTTATTTCAAAAAATACACACTTTTGTACACACCTATGTTGTGAAAGGTTTTTTTTATCTGTGAACATCGACTCACAGACAATGTTTTGCACAAACAAAATATTATCTGTGAACCGGATTCACACACAATAAAAAATTTCACAAACATGGTGGTGTGTATAAGATGTGTACAAGGGTGTGTACATCAAGCAGTTTTGAACCTACAAGGGTGAACTGCCGAATAGAGCTCAAAGTTGATGGGAATGTTGTAGAATTAGAGTTTGGGTTTTAAATAAACTAATTAGCATTGTTACTTCTAGATGAAATTTGTACATATTCTGATGCATACTTCTAAACGATTTGCTTGAGTAATACTATTATTTGTTTGGTTTTCAAAATAAATAAGTAAATAAATTGTGTGCACAAGCTTATTAGCGGTTGTAGATAAATTTGGGGATTTTCTTAGCATTCCATTTTTTGGCAAATAAGTAAATAAATTGTGTGCACAAGCTTTAGCATTCCATTGTGTGCACAAGCTAATTCAGTTCTCTTAAGCTAAACCAATACTAACCATGATGAAAAAAGTAGAAAATAAAATTACAAACATTTCCGACTGTGAGCTGTTAGCCTATAAACAGTGAGATCCCGTTTACTTAGGACTTAATGGACTTAATTGAACAGACGACTTAATCGTTCAGCTATATAACCTTGTTTACTTGTGACTTAACAATAAAATTGACTTATTCCGTCAGGCCATTTATGACTTATTCGCTCAACCAGAATTTAGCACTCCTCCCGCTTCAAACGTATCAGCTTCATTTTTAACCCTCACTTCTCCCTCTCCATACTTCATCGCTTCTCCGAGCCATATCACGCCAACAAAGGGGGCGTTTGGAACTGATTCTGTCTCTGCTTCTTTTTTAAAATAGAATCAGAATCAATTTTCTAAAGCTTCTAAAACAACTGAATCACTTTTGCACCTTCACCTCACCCCTTCACTCCAACTTATGCTTTGCTCCTTCACCCCCAAACTTGCGAGCTTCGACTATAGGAGCTAGGCAGCAAAGGCCATCATCCACTACCACTACTCCCGCAAGAAGTATGAGATCGATGCTTGCAATCTTCGTCTTGTTCGTGTTTGCAGGTCCTTTCTACCAGTCCATGAGATCTCTCACATAGAGTGCGTCAATATGTAAAATCTTTTCAGCACACTCAAATTTCTCTCAAATCTGATGTAAAATCGATCTATATTAGATTCGATGCTCCAGAATCATCCATTTTTTAGAATTTTGAAATTCTATATCCAGAGTAATAGGTATTGTATTTTTTATCACTTTGTTGTCCAAAAAAAGTTTCAGGTTCTCTATGGATCTTGTTTGGCTCCTCTACAGAAATAATTCTTATCTTATCACCATCTGCAATTATAGACGGTACTATCCAATTTTGTCATCTTTGTTTATCCTGATCTGAAACCTCTACTTCCACTCCTTTATCTCGTTTGTTTCTGCATGTACTTTGACTTGTTCATGTTTCTTTCATGCTCTGAATTTCATTATGTCTTGGAGCTACAATTGTTGCTTCTGAAATTGGGGGTTCTTTATTTACTCAATGATATGTGCAGCACATGTTCTATAATTCTAAACTGTGCAAATATGAAACAAAAATATTAGGGGTTTAATTTTTTTATAAGTTCAAGAATTTATTAGTTAACTTGTTCCTTTTTGTTTGTTCTTTATAGGGATTTGACTGTTTTTTGTTTGTGTTAGTTGTTTTTATTGTAGTTAACTGGTTGTTCAATTGTTCAAAGAAGTAGAGTTACAATCTAAGTTGATCGACTCCCAATAAGATTGGAGGTTTGTACTCTCCCATTTGTAATTCTGAATTTCATTATGTTTGAGTAGTATATTTGGTTTTTAAATCTTCAGGTAAGAAAACTACTCCATAGTTTTTGCTATGTTTGATTTAACACCTAAACGTTGATATTGTGCAGGTTTAATATTCAATTGGCGTGTATATTCTCTTAAAGGACTTGAAACAAATATGGAATCATTCTTCTAACGATCGGTAGAGACTCTCTCTTAGTTTTTATTTACTCTGAATTTTGTTGTTGACTTTGCAAGTAAGTCAAATCTTGTTTTTATTTAAAAGTTAGTAAAGAATATAAATAGCTCTTTTATGTGGATATAAGTTTCTTTTGCTTGTCTGTTACACATATTCTGAAATGTTTGATTTACTTCTTGTTTAAGTGATCTTTTTTAAAAGTTTACATCAATTTTGGAGTACTACAATGTTTATCATACTCTGGTAACCAATATACTTGAATATCACATTTAAGATGTTTCTCTACGCTGTATTTGAGTGAAGAAACAATTTTTGTTTATTTCCTGGATTGCTAGTTCAATTTTAGGTCAAACACTTCTGCTTACTAGATTTTTTACAATGAAATTAAAGTAAGTTAAAGTGTTAATGTGTGATTACATTTACTCTGTTTTTTCTATTGCAGTTTGCTATCAATGAGAAGTCAAAGCATGGATATTGTATGAATGAGTTGTTGATTAATGCACTTAAAAATATCAATGAGAAGTCAAAGCAGTTTGTTTTTTCATTGTAGGTTGCTTCTACTAGAACCTGAAGCATGGTCACAGCCTCCAAGGATGGATTTTAATTTGTTGAGTGGATATGTATCAATAGCAATTCTGTTTATTTTATCTACACATGTATAGACTAGGGCCAATCGTGTACACTATACTTTGAATCAATGAGAACGTTGTTTGTCATATTGAATTTTCATTCATCATTATAAATTTTGAATCATGTAATAATGATTATAAATTTTGTTAATGTCATAATGAATTTTCATCCATTCCCGTCATGGCGTCATTATTTCTTTTAACCGTGGAAGCTATACTGAGAGGCCGCGACTAGACTTGGACTCGGGCCCGGGCCGGACCTAGGCCCGGCCCGGCCGCCGGTTCCGTATCCATAGGCCCGAGACCGGCCCGGGTCTTGACCGGTTCTGGGCCGGGCCGGTTCCGGTTCATTTTTTTTATTCTTATTTATTTCACCCCCCACCCCCATCCCCCCAACCCCCCAAACCCCTCGGAAATACCCAGCCCAGCCCAACTAACCCCAGCCCAAACCAAAAAAACCAAAAAAATAAAAAAAAAGGCCCGAACCGGGCCTGGACCGGCCGGGCCTGTTCCCCTTTTCCCTTACCCGTGCCCGGAACCGGTAGACCCACCGGACCTAGGCCCGAATCGGAATCGGACCCGGTTTCCCGGGCTGGGCCGGTCCCGCACAGTAGTGGGTCGGGCTGGTTCCCGGGCCGGGTGGCCCGCACCGAGTCCAAGCCTAGCCGTGACGTTATATTTCCCGTCATTAAATGGATGTGAAGAAGAAGTATATGCACTGTTACTTTAAGGATGCAAGTCGGAGTGTTACTTTTTTTATAGTTTGTTTAGTTATATTAGTTTGTTTAGAATATATATTCAGCTCTTGTTCTAGACGTGAAGGTTATTTAGTCATTTGACATGATTCAGACTTTACATTCAGTTTACTTGGTAAAAAGTTTGTTATCTCAATGTCACTTAATCCAGACAGACAACTTAATGCAGACAGACGTATTAATCCATTCAGGACTTGATGAAAAAAAAGTAAACACCCCCTGAGTTTTCAAATCACAAAAGGCAAATATGAATACAGTTCTGGAATAGAAACACACACTCATTTTCTTCACTGTTGTGCCTATATTCATTCATCAATTCCCCATTCTATCCATCCTCTCCACTAGAGATCAATATGACAACCAACTATTCGGCCGAGATGAGATTTTCTATTCCAAAACTGTATTCCACGTGCACGGGTAATAAATTAACTTCACACTAAGTTCATGCATTGCATTCCCTCGGGCATGCCAATCAGAAAGGGAACAACATATTCAGAGCAACTGTTTAATGGACTACTCCTTCCATCTCTATTGCTACCAACTTGATCATTCAGACACAATTCACTTGGCCCTGCCACTTGTAACAGTTGAAGAAGGGAGGAAAATATCTCGTGCCTCGACACAATCTGATTTTCCTGCCAGGAATCACAAATCAATAAGCGGAAATGAAGTCTCAACAACTTGACAGTAATAAGGCTTGGGTCCTGTTCTTAGCCCAAAAAAATTCATTGGAGCACACTAATCTTAAACCAGTATTACCATTTTTAGGCTTACTAATGTTACTATAACCAAACAGCTCGTTTGTGCGAGCTATGTTCCGATACCATATTAAGTCTTAGCAAAATACATTATTTTCCCTCTTAGATTTACTTGATTTAATACCTCAGCCTCAACGACGAAGTGTGCCCATATCTTGGTCACACGAAGTTCCATGACTCCTTTCAGTATATTCAACCCAAAACCTCGGACTATATCTACAATCTCCAAAAAGAAACCTTGTTCTTGACATAGGATCTGAACCAATAAGTTAACAAGATCAATACAGATTCAAGATTTGGAATGATTTGCTATGAGAACATGGGACAGATTTATTGATAAAAATAAAGATAATTAGGAATTTAAAAAAATCTCACCTCTATAAGCATTTGGCCAGGCGTACAAAGTTCCTCAACTTTTAGGGGACAAACCATTGTTTGGTTTTCGATTTCACACACCCATGTCACTCCGTTGGCATTACTATTGAAGCCAGTCTCTTTCTGACCCTCTCTTTCCTGTTATCAAATACAGATGAGAATTAACAATTGAGAACTGCGTGCAAAGAGATAATGTCCTATAGTTGTGATAATGTAAGAGAGAAAAACATGAACCTTAAGCACATTTGCGTTTTTAAGCTCTTCAGCATGCTTTGTGACACTTTGCAAGAAAAGTAACTGTTTTATAGTTTGATTCAACAGACGATCAATGCTCATCTGCAATTTAATTTAATCTCATTGAATTAGTCCTCAGACATTGTATTTTCCCCTTTATGAGGTATATTAATATATTTATATTTATATAGAAAGTTATGAAAGTGGTGAAAATTAAGATAACCTTTTCACCATTTGGAACGAGCTTTCTCAATTCTGCAAGACGTTCATAGGTGCGTATACGATCTTTTGGAACGGGCCGAGTACCTCTTTTAGCCTTCTTCTTTGTTGGTTTTGAAGTATTTTCATGATCCTTAGATAATGGTATGTTCAAGTTGCTATAAAGTTGAGAAGTTTTGACTGAGTAGCTGGTCGCTAAAGGACTTCCCGTTCTCTTCCTCGTGCTTCCTGCTGATAATGACTGATCGTTGCAACTAGAACCGCCAAAAGAGCTCCCAGGAATGTCATTCAACAACTGGTCAAGGCCTAATTGGGAGAATAACCTATTTGACGGCCATTCTTGAGAAACATTTGAGTTCTCTGAGGGGCACCCTGAGTTATCTGTCCACTTTGAACCAATATTATTCAAGTTTTTCTCTATCTGATTAAAGGAGTTGCACACATTGAGAAGGATATCTGTCTGGTCACTCATTTTGGGTTCTGAAATCACACTTGTGGCACATGAGAGGTCATCATTGGTCGAATTAAGCCCGTTATGGGCCCGACCCACCACAGGAGAAAATGACTGAGAAATATCATACATCAAAGAAGTTCCTGTGCTGTGATTTTGAAACTGGTAATCAAATTCCAGCAGATCAGCAAAGTCTGGACTGGGAAGAGTTTCTGGGCTCATAAGGTAGGGAGAATTGGTGATTGATGAAGGAAGAGATTCCAAAGCGGGGAAAATTTCTCCATTTTCTGGTGAAGCTGAGATTTCAGGCAAAAATGTTTCCATATCTATATCCAGGAAAAGTTTTCTCGCTTCCTTGATAAACTCCATCCTCTCTGGGAGCTGCAGTCGGTATAAGGAAAAAGAACAATAGATATGTTAGTAGAATGAAGGATCAAGTAAAGAGTTTAAGAGTAAACTTGAAGATGGTAATTAACCTTCTCCATGGATCCAAATTGCACCACCCCAAAAGGTTCAACCAATATTACTGCAATTGTCTGAAAAAATAAAGCAGATTTGGATTAGTAATAAGTAATACACATTATAGTCTATAGATCATCCTTCATTCAGTGTCATCATATTATAAAGATTATACATATCAGAGAACACATTATAAACTTGTAATAAAGAAAAATACCTTAATCCCACAGGAAAATTGCCCATAAAATTCAGAATCATCCTGTAAAAGTAAATTGCCAAAATATCAAATCATTGCCCATAAATAAATTATGAAAAGCAATATATGTGTGTTTAATTAAAGATTGCTGCTAATAATTACAAAATACCAAACCATTAATTGCTGGATTTTGTAAAGGAGAGCCTTAATTACCTGTAAGAACTCACTATTATCAGGCAAACCATGGTGGCTCTGCCAAGCAGAATTAGAGTCGGAAAACATCCATTTGTGTTTCTTGGTAAAAGCAACTTGACCAACCACCCTGTCCAAAATTAAAGTTCACTTTTCCTTAGAAGCCTTTTCTTAATTTTTTTAAAAAGACTAAATCTTTTTTATTACTCCTTATTATTAAAAGAATCTGAAAGATTGAGAGGATTTTGAACCGACCCACTCCCTAGAACATGAACTTGCAGAAGCATATCGTCAATGATCCCGCCCATCTGTTCATCATAGTATGCATCCCTCAGCGTCAACAATCTGTCTTCCATACAACACTAAGTAAAATGAGCAGCACTCGAATTGAGATGGGTGGAGTACCAAATTGAAAATGAAATCAACAGGAAGTTCAAGAATTCGTATCTGATTTTCTGATTTCAAGAAGAGAAAAAGGCCAAAGAAAGCTAAAATTTGAAAAATGTAAAATAAAGTAAATTGCTTAAATGTGTGAATACATACATGCAGAGAAGCTGAAGGACTTACAAGGAATTTTGCAGGTTGAAACCCCAGAAGACTCCATAAGACCACCCATTGGCACAGCAAAGGCTCTTAAGCAGTGCTTTTGTCACTGTTTCACCATTCCTTATACTCATTCTTCCCAGACAAAAAAAAAACAAAGGAAGAATTGCAGCTATGTATAATGGGTAAATGTGAACTTGTAGCAATGGACTTGAAGCCAAAAAACGGTAATAGATTGAGAAGGAAGATTTAGTGTTCTTGAAGAGAACTAAACAGCTTTATAGAATAAGCAGGTTCTAGGAAGCCTTTGGACTTGTGAAAGAAAAAAGAGAAGACCAGAATAAAATGCGGTCAGAGCAGGTGGGAGAAGGAAAAGACAATCTGTAGGGAGGAAATATACCTTAAACCTCTTATAAAGTATGCCTGAATAAATGCATAGAATGTGATGGGGTAATTGCGTTCAGTGTGATGTAAGGAGAATGTCTCTAGGGACTGGCTGATAGGTTGTAGTAGGGCTGAAAAGGCAGGCAGGTTAGAGTATTACTAGGTTTGGCTGAGCAAACTGCAACACCTTTGGAAGAACATACTCATGATTTCCCATGTTTTTTGCTTTGCATTTTACCCACCACATGTTGACTATGTTGTCCTCCTCATTAGTGGGGAATTACTAGTGAACTAGTCTTATTAAAGTAATAATAATACTCCATCATCCTAATTTGAAGATTTTTACTAACTTTTTCATAGTCAATTTAATTCTTTGTTGTTTATTTTTTGTTAGTCATTCTGATTTCATTGACATAATCCTTGGCTCCCAAAAACTCACATGAGTCAACTTTTGAGAGATGTAAATATGAGTCTAGAAATCGCCTTTAACAAATTGAGAAAGAGGTAACATGTCTATCCAATCATCTTTATTTTTAACATGTATATGTCATTATTTCTAAATTAATTTTAAACACGTGTATGTATTAAAATATAGAACTTTATGAAAATATTACATATCACCCAAGTATATAATAGAAAATCTTGAATGTCTAAGTGAGTTGTGAGCCTACTAGGCCACCCATAAATCCAGCCATGCATATCTAGTACCTCCTAATTTTCTTTTTGATAAATGTACTATCAACCTTTAAGAGGTATTCAAGTTTTTACCTATCCTTTTTGTTGACATTTTGAGTGTTCACTAGATTATTTGTTTTTGGATGTTTGATCATTGTGTTCTCTTTGGTCTATGGTTGTTTCTGACTTTCTGGTAGGTAATTATATAGTGATGCGTATTATTGTGGATTTGTGGGGCTATTTTTCAACTTCATTATCCTAGCTAATATCTAATGTCAAACGTCAATGATAAAGTTAACCCCAAGCATTTAAAAAAAACATTCAATATTATTAATCGCACAAATCCTTCCTAAGAAGGTCGCAAATACAAGAAGGTGGTACATCAAATCATAGACAATCAGACTCTACAAACCTTGCTTAGTCAAAGCATCAGCAACCCTATTCGATGATCGTCGCACATACTAAGAATGTTTTTACTTGGACTGTAATTCGTCCCAGACCAGACCAGACCAGTTCAGACCAGATCAGACCAGACCAGTCTTGGATAGTTGTAAAAATACAAAGAAACCAGACCAGACCAGATCAGACCAGACTAGACCAGCAAATTACAGTCCAAGTAAAAACATCCTAAATAGAAATATCACCACTTAATGCTATCATGTATCTAATATCTTCTGCTAACATCGCTTCATAGCCTCATAGGAGCATCCCCCGAACCCTTCACTCCCTGAACCACAATTAAAGCATCCGACTCAATAATCACACGATGCAACCCTCACTCCAACCGGGAACATTTAAAAACCGAATAAACGAAAACAACATAAAATTACACTGGAAATGTATTACATCATTCTCTAAAAAACACGAATAATCTTTCATTTAATTAAAATTTAGAATCATATTTTTTTATATTTTAAAGGTTTTTTTATTTTTTTTCCCAACCGAAAGATGGTGTGCCTAACCGGTGGCGGACCCAAAGAGGGCTAATGCCCCCCCCCATCTTTTTCTAGGTATTTTTACTATGAAGTTTTAATATATGTGTATTTGTATATATATATTTACATTGCCGCCCCTCCTAGCCGGAATTCCTACGCCCGCCGTTGTGTCTAACTATCTAATATAGACTGAATTTGTCCGTTTTATTAATTTATTATATGATGATACCATATCTAACACGAAGTAATTTATAAAGTGCAATGTTTGATATGTATATTAGAGCATCTCCATTCATGATCTTAAAATAAACGATTTTTCAATTACACGTCATTGTCACATCACATTTATTCAATAAATCTCAAATAATCTCAAGTCTTAAAATTCTTCATTAACCATGATACTCAAATAATTAGATATCTAGATCATGCATTAAATGCATTTTAACTACAATCTAAAATAATCCGGGATTCAAATCTTGATACTGGATTTTCTTTTTCAATAATCTCTCTAAATAATCTCTCACTCACAATGATGATCTGTAAAACAATCTTACACATCATCCAATTAAACTTTAAATAATCTCATGGATGGGGATGCCCTTACGAGTACATTATTTCCGCAAAAAACTACTACTCATCATCAGGTCATCACAATATAATTACCAACCATGCATATTTATTGGTTTGGGTTATTGATGTGTCACTCAATTCTTTTTTTAGAAAAACTTCATAACCTATTATAGTATATGTTCTATGTTAAGGTCAACATCTTGAACTGAAATGGGCTTCCAACTTGTGACATGTTCCGTGAGAGTGTTAGAGTGATCCATCATATCACAAGGTACTTGACAAGTCACTCAATTCTTAAACTGTTTTCTTTAATATTTGTTATGATTATAAATAATCATGTAGTTTTTATTGTGATTTGATTTATTTTTATTGTTGGAAACGTTTGCAGTACTGTTTTGTATATTCGTTGTTTTTTTTCCTACGTACTATTTCTTAGGGAGTATTATTTTCTTGTTATGTACATTATTTATCCTACCATTCGTCCTTGTCTTCCATGTTTGTATGAAATTGACATTTATACATATTGTTTTACATGAAACAATCATTTTTGATGTTATAACTTGGGCTAATTTTAAATTCAAACTAGATAAGATCATATTAAGTCAGATCAGACAGAATTTGACCATACTTGAATAGATATAACTCCGAAGTAAAAAGACCAACTATACCAAACTTAGATAATAGTATGATTGACCCGTACGGGTAGCTCAGTTGGTCGAGTGGTGGGAAAATTGGACCAAGTGGCCAAAGTTCGAAACCCGCAGCGGCCGTGTGGAGGTTGCAGAACCTGAAATAAGGTTGGACCTCTGGTGCGCACGTGTATAAGGCCTACCGCCGCTTTGCTGACTGAGTCATCGTGATTAACATCCCCACCTTTTAGACCAAGATAATAGTATGATACAAAGATCATCAAACTTTACAAGACCAAACTAGACCAAAAAACATAAAATAAAAGTGGGATACACCAATTTATACTAAATTAGATTTGAAAATTTTCAGCAGAAGTGAAAACATCTTATGTCATAGATCGAACGTGTAAATTGTTCACATACATGACACAACTGTTGTCTATGAACATACATTAATTCACAACAAGAAACATTTATTTTGTCACGGATAATTGTCACACAAAACATATGTGACCAGTTTGTTACGAATTTGTCACGAAACAAGAACATTAATCAATGCAAATAAACTTGTCATAGATGTTACACTCACAAACATTTTTCGCTACATCATATGTGACCAAGCGGCTAGGTTTATTGTCCAAGCGATCGTGACCACTTGTTTCAATCGAAAAGAGGCGGTCTATTTTTTCACAAATTTTTTAGGAAGTCCCATATGACTGCCTTGTGGAGTCACATGGAGGGATTGTGGCACCACCCCATCACCATTTATTAATTTAGTGGGGTTCTCCACTAAATAAATGAATGGTGATGGTGGTGTCACAATATTCCATATGACTTCACATGGGACGCATATGAGGTTTCATAAATCTTCTCATTTTTTGACAAATAGAACCTGTAGAAAATACTATGTATAAGCAAAAAAAGGTTACCAATTATATTTTATGGTGGAATAACTATGTGACAAAAGAGTTGTGGACGGAATTGTCATGGATTGATCGTGAAAATTTTACCGTAACAAGATTTAACTGTAAGAGATCCGAGACAACCATGTGAAAATATATGATCGTTGCCAATATTTCGTGAAAAATTCCGTGATAAACAATGGAGGATCTATGGAAGCATGAGGGGCAAGTGCCCCCGCCTCCGGTCCCAAAAATAAGCTTTAATACTTGGGTCATAAAATTATGTCCCTCCTCCCGGTATGATTAAATAATACTAGTTCTTCAATGAGTGTTTAAATGTACTTTGTTTTTATAATTATTTTAATAAAATATCTAAATAAGATATGTTGATTTCGATTAAGACTATTAACGACCCAAGCAGAGCCCAAAAATATGGAGCTCAAGTTTGACTCGTTTAGGTAATTATAGATAGCGGTGTTTGGGTTCGAGCTCAAAGCTCGACGAGCTATATAAATGGGGTTTGGCATTCGCTCGATACATGTTTGATATTTGATTTGAGCACTTGATAATTAAGCTCAGTAAGTATGCGCGAATGTAGAAATCTAATTTATGCTCATTAACAGGTTCGTGTTTAAATTGTTCTGCAAAGTACTCAAATCTTTAATAAAAGTAACATTGAATAATAGAATCGAACACAATGGCTATAAAGGAAACAACAAGTTCAACAATGGTTTTTCAAGGATTTATACAATAATTTTTCACGGCTTCGTGTTAACTTCCAAATATCTCACAATAAAATGATTCTGGAAAGGGTTTCATCAATAATTTGTCACTAATTAGCATATCTTTATCAAACCCAAGCCAAAATATATGCAAGGGTGGTTTTACCATGAAAAAATTATAGAAATCGCTCTAAATAGGACTAAAACTTGGACAAAATTCACAAATAGGACTACATGTTTTTTATTCCTGAAATATTATTTGATCCTATTAAAAGTATAAAACTTCCCCAATTAGGAGTGAATAAGTCCTATTTTATGAAGAAAACAATGATAATCCTACATATGCATTTTATTTATGTTTTAGCATGGAGTCGTGAGAAAAATATGCTAATTCTTGATAAATTAGTGTCAGAACTCTTGATTTTTTATAATATAGTGTAATAAAATTTCGATATGTAAAATTAGATTATTAAATAGAGTTTTGTTGAACGAATGAATAGTAAACCTGAATTGTACTCAATTAAAATTGTGATCGCTTATAGTATGAAAAATAACTTGAAATCAAATCCAAAATTAGAAACATTGTAAGGATGATTTAGTTCTAATCCAAATTATGTTTGTCTTTCCAAAAGCAAAAAATTATTGTTTAGAATTGATTTATGAGTTAAAAACTAGACCTACAATTTGTAGATGTTCATCATTTGAAACCAGAACTGAACAATCCAGTTGTGGTTATA